TTATCTTTTCATCAACGAATGTAATGTGAAGGTTAACAACTGATTGCCATCCAATTCAGATAGAATATTTGTTTTTAATTCACCATTCCCAGATACAAATAAACTTCAAAACCAACAGCACAACAAACACCTACATTGGTTTATAAAACTTATTTTATGGACTCAATTTATGCAACATCACTTTTCATCTGTCAAGACATATACTTTTAAAATGCTATTCACCATGTGGCCTAGAAATCAGTAATAGTCATCATAAATATTACTAAAAACAAATAATTCTCATAAAACAAACATTACAAATAAAAACAAGTGATTCTGGAATAATTTCCAGAGCCGGCCTCCTCAATTTCAACTGGCTTGTTCGTTTGTGGGAAGGAATAGGAGGAGGATAAAACAGCTAAAGCAAATCTTACAACTAAAATTATAATTTTTCAGTTTAATAGTATATGTAAATAGAAATGTTTAGATAAGAAATGTTTGATATAAGAAGTTATTTTATATTTACCTCAATTCTTTTCCCCTTCATTTGGTTATTTCCATATATCTATTTCTCAGTTATAGAACACACACAAATACATATCTATATTTGGTTGACATTAAATACTGCTGAGACCATTTTTAAAAAGAAAGTCTCGTCTCACCTTTACAGTGTTGTTCTATCCCGATTATATGAGGTTTGAGGACATTGAACTTCTCAAGATAGGAATTGTTTTGTGGTCAATTTTGGAAATTTGAGTATCTGGGTATTAGAAGACAATTTATCGAAAGATAGAGGTAGAGATAAATGAAAACAAAGCATGCTGCAGAAAAATACGTATAGCATGATTTCATTTTGGTTAAAAATATATATTAGCAGCATGGTCATCACAAGCGCAATGGTTAGATACAGTTTTCATTTTTTAAATTTTGCTTGTATCCACTTATTAAATGTTTGTGTTCTACATGTTCTGTTTTTATGACTTTAAAAAGGAAATTTAACAAGTAACATCAGCAACGACAACTAGCCAACTAGTTCACTGGATGCGATAGGCAGAAGCCAGGATACAGTGGAATGAAAAATGAATGGGAGTGGGAACTACTCAGAATGAGTCAAGTACAAGAGAAAGAGAAGAGGAAGGAGAGGAATTAGAAGCAGACAGCTCAGCCTCCAGGCTTCTCTGCCATGAAGCTTTGACGCTGGCTTTCCTCTTTCCAGAAGATGCTTCTTACAGACATCCATGTGACACACCCAATCATCTCCCCATTTAATAGATGGATGAATAAATGAACAAATAAACAGACGAATGAATGGAAATATCACCATGAAAAGAGAATGTTTCCTAATGTGTTATTTATAGTCTTTGTTCAAATGTCACCTTCCCACTGAAGCTTATTTAAAGTCACACCACTCTTTCCCTTCCCTCCACATACACAAATCCCCCTGCCCTGATCCTATTTTTTTTCATAGACTTTGGTAAATTTCAAACATTTTACGTAATTTTTTACTTTTATTGTTTATTGTCTATCTCCTCCACTAGAATGTAAATGCAATCTAGCAGAAATGATTTTGGTTTGTTTTGTACACTGATAGATCCAAGCACCTAGAGCAGTGTATATATAGCACACGGTATTACTTCACGACTATGTGCTGAATTAAAAGAAGGCTTATTTAGGGTTGGGAAAGATTAGAGCATGTTCACGTGCTGAACTTGACTATTCCCGGGAAGAAAGATAAGCATGATTAATGAATCCAGAATGGCAGAAGCCATCCTTATGAGAGTTCCTTTGTATCTTCCTTGCTATTTGACCTTCATTTCTAGTAACATCAAATGCACTGCCAGAAAAACAGCCACACACAATTTTGTTGGTGCTTTTTCAGTGGAAGAAATTCATTGCCGTGGTAACAACACATTTCAGTACCACGTTGTTAGAGCTGGTACTTACTGTCATGGAAAAGCAAAGGTACAATTAATTCCGTTTACTGATAAGGTATATCCAGTTAGCTGTGCTTACACAGCAGGAAAAGTATCAAACGGGAACTACCAAAGAGGGCTACTTGCAAGAACATGTTTGCCATGAGGTTTAATTATTTCCTTTTACAGTTTAATATTCAATAAAGATTTAGCAGGAGGAAGAAAAGAAGGAATTGCATGAAGTCAAATTTGTCAACAAAGCAAATATTTATTAAGGTGACAAAAAAGACAGATAAAACTAAGGTCATAAAGAAAATATTAATCTCAATCAAGATTAACACAAAGCAACTATAATGACAACAAGAGCAAAAGTATGAATTTGATCCACGCCATTTCTAGCACTTTTCTAGATTCAGCCTCCTGAGATTTCTTTGGGCCTCTAATCTTTCTTGCCTATTGATAGTGATCCTTGTAACTCTTGAAAGTCCTCAGTTTTGTTTTGATTGTTGGGGATTTTACCTTAAAATCACTGATTTAAATCGTGCTCTTATCGAGGAATGCCTGCATTCTTCTAGTCTCAGAGGATCCTTTTCAAATGATCGATGCACCAGTACATACAACATTCGTTTTGGTCTTACTTTTTGACTAGGTTTCACTGTAGGCCACTCAGCGCATGTAGATAAAGTGAAAATATACACCAAAAAGCTTAAAGGATAAATTCAAATAGCTTAATATATAGGGACATATTTGTATTTGGCAGACAGCCTGAATTTCATAAAGTCTACTTTAGTATAAAAAAAGTTATAATATGGGTTAGTTTGGAATTAGAATCAAAAGAGTCTCACTTTTCTGATCTGGATAACAGTTTAGAGGTCTCAGAGAATAAAAATGACACAGACTATCATTTTGAAAGGAAGGAAATAAAAAATAGAAAATGTTATATTTCACTGGTAAAAACAGTGTCTCACCTAGGACAGACCAGGAAAAAATTGTTGATCAAAAAAAAAATTTTAAGAGAAAGACATGATTAGAAAACTTGTTAGTTAAATGTCAGGGAGAATTGCTAATATCAGAAAAGAAACAAGGAAATCAAAGCATATAGCCACGACCTCACAGGGCATGTTACTCAAGACACATGACACTGCTCCATTGTTTGAAAAATCATTGTCTGATACACCAAACTCAATAGTTCAGTGTTTAGATTTCTTAAAAACTTCCATTTTCATGCTCTTCTCAGTGAGTGTATGTCGCTGACAGTAATGTATTAATTTTAGGTGAGCACATTAATGGTAGTTCCAGGCTTTTAGGATCCAGTTAATTGACACACTATTGGCACAGAGCAATGACTGATACCCTGGGAACTCAGGAAAGTACAAGATCTTTTTAGATTATTGTTTATTGACTTCATTACTGTTGCAATACACTTAATCATTCCATGTCATATATGAGCTAATGGATGTTCTGAGAGGTCAATCACAGTCCAAGGGCAATGACAAATGTGCTAGAACAAACCTAGGCTGCCTCAAGGAGAGGCAGATTGGACTAATTTTCTAATTTAACAATAAAATGATTTGAATGGGACACACGGCCCTCCATATTAGGAAAAGAAGTCTAAATCTATATTAAATACAAGAATTTTGACAGGCTTACCAGAACCTGAGACATATCAATGGCAATCAGTAGTTGGTATTATAACATTCCTGGATGTTAACAGAACTTTGCCGGGAGAACCGATTCTCTGTGAGAAAAGCAAGTCAAGACCCCTCCAGCCTGACATCTCCCTTTTCCACAAGTCACTCTTTGGTGGAATCTGTAACTTGAAAGGAATTCTGTTGACTTTAGAGAATTCCAGGCTGAACAAGACATTGCTGCTCTTGTTCAAGAGCTCATAAGAACAACTCAACATCTTCACACAGTAACTGGAGGATATTAGGGGAATCTGTTCAGAGATTTTGAGGCAATAAAGGAAAATATTTTTCCATTTTCTTCAAAGAATTTGTATAAAGAAAATTGTCTAATTATTCCTCTATAAAGGCAGAGGTTACAAGCATAGTCCCTCCAAAACATAGTATATAAAAGAAAATTCTGATCCCCAAGAACACATCCATTAGTGTACAAAAGGATTAAATAATGCAAACTACATAAGCTACAGCTGCTCCCTCCAAAAGACCATTTGGGAAATATTTTTCTCTTAGACTAGCCAATACTCAGTCCAAAAGCAGACAAGTGAGTGTCATGGGAAACATTTCAATATGGAACATAAAATTAGGCACCAGATTTATAGTGGATTCTGATTGTTTAGAATTATAGAATTTAACGACTGAAATGGAAGAGGAGAGAGAAATGAAGGAAGCATAAGAAAAAAATAAATCTGAGATCTTGGATTTCTTGGTTCCATCCTTTCCTATTTCTTCAGGAGAACCCAATTTTATCAATTAACATATAAATATACTCTAGCACCTCTCATACATGAAAATGGAAGCTTCCATTATGCTTTACATGCCTTTCAAACCACTACCTGATTCCTTTCATATTCACCGGACATCTCCAACGAGTTAGCTCCTTTCACTTTCTCTGCATCTTCCCTTACCCCGCACAAATTAGAATATTACTCCAGTCTACACTGCTGTTCTCAAACTGCTGTCATGAGGACCACAGATAATCTCTGCTCTGCCAAGTTCAGTGGACACATTTTTCAATCTTCATCTTGTTCAACGTCTATGTGACATTTGGAAATACTGACTACTTAATTTATTTTGAAGTTGTCTTCCTTTGCTTTCTGGTCCACTGACTTCTGACTCTCCTACCCTGCTGCCCACACTTTGTCAGTGGGCACCCACTTCTCTATCTACCCTTAGTGTTCGTGTCTCAAAGTTCCTCCTGGCATTAGCTCTCTTTCTCTCTCCTCTCTTCTAAGATACAGGTTGGGTGATTTCATTCATTCCCATGGCTCACACAATCTTTGTTAGCGTGCTACACGCATGTCCCGCAAGGTTCCTGATATTTTGGTGTGGCCATTTTGATTCAGCCTTCAGAAGAAACCTTTTTATTTTCACTCTCGCAATGCTCGAGACTGGCAGTCTCATCCTATCCCTGGGCTTCATCGCATGAATTTAAGTATGTTTTATTGTTGAACTCTAGTCAATCCTCCACAAACAAATACTTTATATAATGCTTAAACAGTTACAGTTTCTAGAAAACAACAGAATTCCCAAATCCCTTTATGAAGGTAACAAAGTTTAACAAAAATAGCCCACACTCAGTTGAATATAATATGAGGAACAAATATATACTAATTATGAATATAATTGCAAATTTCTAAATAAATATTAGCAACTTGAATTTAGCATTATGGTAAATTTGTGGCTTATTCAGGAATCTAACAAGAAAAAACATGATTGTGTAAATAGATGCTTAGTAGCCATTTGATAAAATTTAAAATTCATCCTTCAGCTCAGGCTTGAAAATCAAGCAGATCTGATTTAGAATTATAGATTATCCACTGATAGCTATTTTTCCATTGGACAGGTAAATAAACCTTCTTTGGACCTTAGTTTCACTAATTTTTAAAATGGGTCTAGATTGCCTTAAACCCCCAGTTTGAAATGCATCTCATCTTTTCCTTTTCACAATATTCTTTATCCTTGAGATTAGACATTTAACATTTGTTTTTCCCACCAGACTGAAAACCACCTTGAAGAAATGCATTGTTATCCACAACATGTAGCGTAATATATGCTAGTGTCTGTGACCAGTTACAGAATTCGCAGGGCCCAGAGCCGAGCGAAAATGAGAGTTCTCTTGTCCAAAGATAATTAAAAATTTCGAGACAGTGACAGCAGAGTATTAAACCAGGAACAGAACCCTTCTAAGCATGGGCCCTTGTACCACTACATACAACACATGCCCATAAAGGAGTCAGCTTTGTGTGTGTGTGTCTGTGCATCCGTGTTTGAAATATGTTGAATATTATGCCTGGAAAATGAAGTCATAGGACCTTCAGAAAATGTCCACAGACAGAATGGTAGCTAGCATTCAGATCTCAAAAATAGTTAAATTGGGTAAAAATAGTTCAGATAATTAATCAAGAAAATATTTTCAAGTTACCAATAACTGACTATTTTGATTGAAGATTGTAGAATATTAAAAAAGACATTGGTTAACCTTTAACAATTCTCCCTTTAAATTGACATTCACATCGTTTTTTCAGTTTTTTCTGTTACATTGCATTATTCATTCTAATATTTTCCTTCTTAATATTTATTGGTGATAATTCATAAACTTTATATACTATTTTGTCCCCACATTGACTTTTCTGCACAATTTATTGAGTCTACAAGTGACATAATAGTAACTACTCCATTTCTCTAAGCATAAAACATTAGCATATGAAAATTCATAAAACATTTTATCCTTGCCCATCTGTCTTATGAAAAACAATGTTCAGTTTATCAAAATATCAACTACTAGTTTAAAACTTCATTTTGGAACTTCTTCCAAATGATATCAATTCTCTCACAGACAGAAAAATAATAACTTGATGTAGTTAGAATGTGCCCATTTTCACACGACAATGAAAATTCCCAACGCTTTCTGAACAATTTCTTCAGAGCGATTCCCCACACTTGCAGTCAGGAACTTACAATCCTCTCCTGGGGCTCCAAATAATTTCCCCTCATGCTTTCCAAAAGTTCACTTATGCATAAGCCCTTATCCTGCCAGGTTTATGGTGATTGCATGAAAAAGAAAGACAGAGTTCCTCCTGAGCAAGTTATTGGTGGACGCTCTTTTATCTGTCCCTGAAAAGTTAAAAAAAAAAAAATGCAGGCTATATGCAATGACCTCTGTGCTGCTGTCAAGAATTTTAAATAAATAAATAACCAAGCTAGGTGTGTTTAGTCACAGAATTCATTTTCAAAGTCACCCCAGCCTCCTGTCTCTCCACTCCCCACCTCCCACTCTAGGTTTGTCAAATGGAAATGCTTGGCTTTTCCCCTATTCTCTTTGCTTCCCTCCCTCTCTTCTTCCGTCTGCCTTCACATACTTTTTCTTTCACACACGATCTCATTCATGTATTCTCACTCAACTGTTCTCTCTCATTCTGTCACTCAGCCATACTTTCGGAATGCCTCTGTGCTAGATACTGCTCTAAGCCGAAGTAAGCTTGGCTGGGCGCAGAGAAGAAAGAGGCCAGTGTGGCTGGAACTTAATGAGGTGGGTACCAGAGGGGGTCAGAGAGGGCAGCAGGACCTTGAAGACCTGCACGCAGTGGGAAGTGGCAGAGGGTGGTCCCAGGGGTGGCAAGTATAAATCAGATATCCTGCTGCTATGAGGAAAGCGAAACAGTTATGGGCAAGAGGGAAGCTGCGAGATCTCCAAGAGGGCGGGGTTTTAAGGATTTGCCCAGAGGCGATTCCAGAGTGGACAGATTAGATTCGGAATTTCTTTTAGAGGTAGAGCTGACAGGACGTCCCTGTGGATTGGATGTGGGAATTGAGACCAAAAGAGGGATCAGAGATCCAAATTCCAGGCTTGAGCAACTCTGCCTCACTCTCTATTTCCTCATTACTCTCTTTCTCTTTCTCCCTTCCATCATTTCCTCTTTCCTCTGTTCACACTCTAGGAGAATCTGGAATGCTCACATGCACAGGTTAATTCCTGCCTGGGTCTCAGTTCACAACTCACAAACTCCAAAAACCTTTCCTGAGGTCCCACACTGGGGCAAAGACACATCCACATGAACACGACCCTGTCTCCTTCCTGGCATCAATTTCTAGTGACTCACAAGAACTTCTAACACAGGGGTTCCAGGCACGACTCTAGAGCCAGAACGCAGCGGGTTGGAATTAAAGCTGTTAATAACTAGCTAAGTGAACTCTAGCAATCGACTTCAGGAAGTCTCAGTTCCCAGATCTGTGAAGTGCACATAAGAAAATTATCTACCTCATAGAAATATTTGCATAAGACGCCATGTGTAAAACGCTTAGCACAATACTCGTACAGAGCAGGTGCTAGATACATGACAGCAGTTTTTATTACCACGGTTACTATTCTACATTTAAGCAGGGTTTCTGCAAACTATCAGAAATCAGACTAAAACAGGAAACAACTAAATAATTCAGCCCTAGAAAAAATTAGCTCCTCAGGAACATACAGTCAAAATGGATAGTTTGATTCCGTAGCCAACTCAGATAAATGGGCACGTGGGAGTCACAGTTATTACCGATTATAGTCTCCATTTCCTCCACCTAATTTGGGTTTTGAGTCTCAAGTCCAAAGATACCACTTACCAGATTAGGTGGGCCCACGGGATTATTTTGCTTTGCGGTCTCACCTGGGCAGGTACATGTACAAAAAACAGAGTGGAAAGAGACTGATAGAGATGTTGGAGGAGCTGAGGGCGTGACCCTCTTATTCATTCTTTACTTCCTTTTTTTTTTTTTTACAAGACGACTTGGCATCGTCCACCACATCCGCGGCGAGAGCTGAGACGCCTCCTCCGTGGCGTCCGCTTGCCATAGCCCAGCTTTCGCCCTACACATTTGCGGCTTTCGTGGATACATTAGCAAGCGATGCTTTTAGATCCCAGTCGCCTGGCTTTGCCAAGGCGGCTAGAGGTCATCGGGAAGTCTTTCGCCTCGAATCGCTCTGACTCAGACGGCTAGCTGGTGCCTCCCGCTGTGCCTTGGAAGTTCGCGCCCTCCTCTGGTCCTGGTCCAGGTGCACAGGAAGCGCCAGGGGAGGACGCAGGTGCCCAGGAGAGGGGGGGCCGTGAAGGCGCCCCAGTGAGGAACTCAAAGATCGAACCTGCGGACCAAGCGCAAAGGAGAAACTGAAAGTACACCGCCGGCTGATCCTACGGAAGTTATGGGAAAGGCAAAGCGCCGAGCCGGGCCGTGGTGTGTGCCGCCCCCCTTGGGATGGATGAAACAGCAGGCGCGGCGTGGGTGAGAGGAGCCAGCGGCAGAGACGGCCCTCGCCGGCACCGACTCCCGGCACCTCCGCGGAAGACCAGGGTCCTGGGAGTGAGTATGGGCGGTGAGAGCTCGCTCCTGCAGCAGTTGCGATCACCATGACCACGCCCGCCTCCCGCAGATCATGTTCCATGGTAAGCGCTCCTCTCCCGGCCGCAGAAGTTCGCGCGCCCGGCACGCCGGGGGCTCTGGGACGCGCTGCGGGGCCCCGTGTCCAGGCGCGTCCGGGAACTGCCCGGCCTTGCACTTTGGACCAGCCGAGAGCACTGGCTCTCCCACGGGCAGCGGCAGCCTCGCCTGAGTGCCCTGGCCCACAGCCACCTGCACCTGGGACTGCTGCGCCTGCCAGCCTGAGAGACGCAGTGCCCGACGCCTGCTTTCGGTCCGGAGACCGAGCGCTGCAGCCCCCGTGCGGCTCAGCCGCGGCGGCCGGCAGCCGGGTCCCGGGGTTAGCCGGTGGCTGTCAGTCTTCCCTGGCCAGCGCTGCCTTGCGTCCACCCGACGCAAACCCCACTGTCCCCTTGATCTTTGTCGCGCCAGATCACACCCAGGCGCCCCGCGATCGGCCAGTGCCTGGGCTCTTGCAGCTCCGAACTCCCTAGAGAAGTGAAAGCGAGGCTCCCACGGGACGCTCTTTTAAACCCAAAGGGGACCGGTCTCTGGAAAACCCCGTGTTCCCCCCTCAGTGAGACTGGGAGTTTCCGACTGGGGCTGTACTGTGTGTCTTTTGCTGGGAACCCGAGCGCTCGGGCTGGCACTGAAGAAGGACAGTTTGGGGTTTTTGTTTTTTCCTCTATGGGTGTTGGCGGAGGCAGGATTAGATAGGCGTAACTGTAAATTCTAGACCCTTGCTGAGATCTTCTATATTTTATTTGTGCAGAATCCGGACTTAAAATGGACAAGGGCAGAGTAAAGACAAGCCGGGTTCCGTTGGCAGCCATATGGCCAACGTGAAGCGCCAAAACGTTTACGGGAAAATATAAGGGGGAAAAGACGTGTGTGGGGAGAGGCTCTGCTGAGGCAAATTGGAATATCTTACAGTAAATACTTCCTCAAGCAAAAGAAGACGGGTGGGGGAGGGTGCGGCGATGGAGAGAAGATAGTTCCTCGCTTTGACGCCTGGGCTGCGCGCTTTCCTGGCGACACCGTTAGATGGAAGGAGGCCTTTCCCGTCATAGGTATTACAGAGTCAAGAATTGACATAGCCGAGACCTACCGGATCAGTAACAAAATAAAGGGGTGGGAGGGATGGCAGTTAGAGTATCCAAGACAATTATGGAAGAAGATTTGTAAAGAGTATCCTCCAGAAGTTTAATCTAGAATTAGAAATTGACTATAGCCCTGTTTTCCTTACAATGCCGTGGATCTCATGCAAATCTCCTGCTTTCTGGATCGCTCCGGGTTCTAATCCTTGTGCCCCGTCTCATCGAAAGTGGAGGGGTAAAGTGGAGGAGCCTGTGGATAGGGTTCCTCCTTACCCTTTTTCTTTGCTACTTCTTTTGGGAGTTGGAGTAATTGAGGACCTACTATGTGTCCTCAACTGTGCTATCTAGTTTAGATAATTTAATCATATTTGAGGGCCGAAAATGGAATAGTAATAAAAACAGAGAACTGAGGAAGGTTAGAAAACCTGAACAAGTATAAAGGAGAATTACACATCCACATCAATGGTTAAATGTCTTCAACAAAAATGGAAAAGTTTATTTTGTAGGACTAACTTACATGTCGTGTTCACACTCATGCATGTGAAATTGTTTCTGGTCTCACCCCTGACACATAACCTAGCGTAATGAGAGCAAATAATGAGTGTAGTTTTTCCTGAAATAATAGTGTTTGATGCAGTGTTTCAGAGCTTGGCCAGGAAATACCTTCGTGAGGTTCATGTGGAGGAAGATGGGGTTCTATACATGTCCCTTGCTACACACACGCACGCACACACACTCACAGTTATTTTTGTAGGAAGCAGTGTAGCTTAGTATGTAAATGCTGAGTTTCTAGACTGTTCAATCTGACAAACCTGGGTTTGAATCTCGTCTCTTACGTTATACATGGGGAAAAATTTTCTTTGGGTCTCAGATTCTCCATCTGCAGAAATGTTAGTAATTAGTAGTACTCACCTCATGAAATGGTTGTGGGATTAAGTGAAATATTGTGTGAATACTATTGGATGGCTTCAGGAATGTCTGTAAATGTTTATCATGGGATTTGTGGATAGAACTTATACTCCAGTCTTCATATGGTTGTGGCATGATTTATGTGAGCACGATCAAATTCATTTTTGTAACCTTAAAAAGCTGATTTCCATACAACACATGGTTGCTTTCTATTGTTTATTCTTTCTTTATTCACTCATTTGCTTGTGCCAATTGTTCATATTAAAGTCAAGTCTTATATGTTCAGATAATGTCATCCATTCCATCTTGAATGTCTTTTGACCATTTTTTAAAATTCCCAATGAAAACAGGTCTATGTACTATTTATAATGGACAGTCAGTAAACACCTATTGATCTTAAAGATTGATGAGAGATAGGATTTGATGGACTATAGAAACTAATTTGTTTGTGTTCACTTTGACCCCATAACTTAAGTAGCTGAGGATTGAATGTATTATTTGGCTGAAATTAAAAACCAACAAGAATTTTTAGACAACCATCATTCTGATTTAACCAAATTCCCTACTGAAAACAATTCTCCAGTTTCAATCCCTTCAGGAGATCTAAAGAAAATTCCAGAAGCCCAGGCTTGCCTTACATTATTCTTTATGGTTTGTCTTTTATGTAACCTAATGAAAAGTTCATAGTGGGGGGAAGGTGTGGGTGTCTATGTATAATCTGAAACAGCACAAAATAAAAGCAGAATCTTTTTCTTATTGTGACAATGTCAAAAGCACACTCAGACTTGGCAGTCTTAATATGTGACTTTCTATGTGGCGTGGAGGAAAGACTTCAATTACGGAACAAGCTGAAAGTCACTAATGACAGACCCGGAACCTATGAGCTGTGAGTGCAAAGCCCTGGGTGTGTCAGCAGCGCTGTTAAGGAGGTGATTTCAAATCTAAACAGTTACTGTATTCGGATGGCCAGGTAGATTCTCAGAATTAAGGTGCTTGAGAGTTGGAAGAGACATTAAGGGATCATTTGCTCGAAAGTTTTCATTTTACAAATCAGGCAAGTGAAAGCTTAAAAGATGCTCTGTCTCTCAGTCACACAGCCCATTGTCGTACCAAGACAAAAACCTCAAGACTCCATCCTACAAACCCTCTGTGCTTTGCGTTGCCCTCGTCTGTCTGGGGCTAACTTATTTAACAACAACAATGGCAACAAAAGAAACTCTTTACCAGACCAGGCAAACTATGTTTTAGAATTGAGAAACTAGTTGTAATGCACAAAATAGACTGAATTTTCCACCAAGCTATCATTTGAAAGTATTGATAAAATGCCATTCTATGAATTAATAGGCCGATATGAATTTGGGGAGCATTAAGAACTGAAAATAGGTGTGAAGAGGATACAGTAGCTAGTGCTGATAGAAAATAAAACAACCTCTTTTTATTAAAACATAAAAGGTAGACCTTTAAAATAGCATTTATGTATAATGGTAAAAATGTCTCTTTTTCATTCTAGTATTTAATTATTTTATTATATTCTCCTTAAAACTTATTTGAAGGTATATGCCATATAACTTTTCCTTTATCAACTATTCCTCCCAAAGTATACCCTCCGGACACCTGTAAGATGACAGAGAACATAAAAAGTTTGACTCTATACAATCTATACAAATCTGATTACAAAGTTAGGACCTAGCAAATAATTAGCAACTGATCATTGTTTGAGAATCTTCAGGATGAAAGAATAGAAATAGAAGAGAAAGAGGCAGAGCTGTGTAATATTACATGGAAGTGGTTTCCATTCAGAAGACTAATGGGATTCCCTGTTATCAAAAGATTATGACCATTTGTAGTCAAATTCTGCTGAGGCGGGAAGCTCAAGTTAGAATTCAGACCCCGCACCTACTATCTGTGTTTTACAAAAAGTTAACTTAAAGGAGTCTTTTGATCTTTGGAGATAATATGTTTAAGGCACCGCTTAACACATGGTACTCAGCTGAAGGTAACTAGCATCATCAACATTATTGATTTCCTAAGTGAATTTTTCTTGTCACAAATTTAGACACTTAGTGGCGGAACCATGAATAGATTCTATGTCTCATTTTGTTCCTCTTACCTTGTCGAGTGTCAGTGACATATAAAGATGAGATGTAGGATTCACGTTTGTTCCTGTATCTGCTACCTAGCCTACTTTCTCTATGTGTAAAAATATGGGTCGCTAATAGCACATAATTTATTGGGGAGTGCTACTGAGTTTTAGATGACAGATAATGATATAATAGATGACAATGTTATTGGGAACTTAATGATATATTTAACAGTCGTTAGATTGTTGTCACAGTATTAGTTCCTTGGGTCCCAAGGAATTTAATTGTTTGTGATCTTAATCAGAGAAGACACACATGTGAAATGTCTTGTACTCAACAAGTACAGTTAAAGTTCATTTGGTAAATTCTCAGGAAATATATTGTCAACATAACTCAAGAGTTTACAGAAAGATGCAAACAAGACACTCTGGCGGGCTCATGAAGAAATAAGTCCCAGTACAACCAGAGTTCAATGTCTCTGGGAATCATTGGCTTTCTCTCCAGTATATTATTCCTGCCTGAAATGGCACCATATATAATTTCATCCCCTCTGATTAGACAATTGCCCCTAATTGGGAAGGCTTATAAAAAACAGATATAAATCATTAGTCAACAGGCTGTGAATTTATTTATTGGATTTTTCTAACATGTCAAGAAGCTAGACAGAGCTGTGTTTGAAGAGAATATGGGTCTCTGGGCACTTAGAATATCGGTTTCAACATTGTCACAGTTCTGGGAAGGGTAAACCCTTTAAGGTCCATCAGTAAAAAGGAATAATGCAATGACAGAGCAGTACCTCAGAGATAAACCTCCTGCAGTGCTGACTCAGGAAGCAGCTGGACACAGGGACAGCCATCATGTTTTACAGAAATATACAGTCACAGGCCACAGAGCATAAAATTCCAAACATTTGTAACTTTTTTTACCTGTAGTTTACCCATTTACCTGTAGATGCCTTTTCTTGTAGGGATGTTCAACATAGGTTGAAATTCAATAAACTGTATTCGTGTTGTTCAGAAGCAAAGAAACTCTGCTGTCATCACACCTGTTCTGCCTTCCCAGAGTAATTTCTAAATAAAAAAATGGAAGAAACCTAAACTCTGAAGTGCTGTCCTATTTTGGTTGTTACCTAATATTGAATTTTAGGGTTCTTCCCACACTATCCGAAAATTGAGATACATTTTTAAAATTATTAGAAATAAGTGGTCAGGCCAATTGAAACACCACAATCAAATTATATGACTTATAATATTTAACTTATTCTTACTTACTGTTGAATTTAGTTTCTTTTAGGTATATCTTTGGAATTCCTCCCCTGATCCTTGTTCTGTTGCCAGTAGCATCGTCTGACTGTGATATTGAAGGTAAAGATGGCAAAGAATATCAGAATGTTCTAATGATCAGCATCGATGAATTGGTATGTGCTTGTTCTGTTCTCCTCGCATTTTAACTCACTGGGAAAACTTGATATCTACTGTTGGTATGCAGGTTTATATCAAGGATCCATTTATATTGCTTGAAAGAAAGTGAAATAACTAGAGAATAAAATTTAATGAGTTAAGAACTATATATATTTTATAGTTGGCATCATTTTACCTTTAAAAATAATTCTTTACTAGACTCCCGCAACCATCCCTAGTTCCCCTCACTACCAAATTTCTTGTAAGCGTAATTTAGCATAGTTGTCTGCATTTCCTCACCTCCCATTGACAATTAGTCCCTGTAGAATCATTACGTTAGGAGAGGGAAAATAACAGAATATAATGTTAAAAAATCATCATGAAAAGAGATGTATAGTTAGTTAATTTTGTCTGAATGTGTTTCCACGTGTATATATTATGTATTTACTTTTATATGTATGTATATATATAATTTACTGAGTTAATTTTTTCATTTACTATGGACAAATTTTTTTATAATAGATTTTATTCTTTAGAACAGTTTTAGGTTTACAGAAAAGTTGAGCAGAAAGTAGAGAATTCTTATATGTGTGGTACATTTGTTACAGTTGATGAACCAATATTGATGCATTGTATTAATTGAAGTCCATCATTGACAGTAAGGTTCACGTTTTGAGTTGTGCAGTTCTATGAGTTTTGACAAATGCATGATGTTGTGTATCCACCGTTAGTGTATCATACAGAATACTGCCACTGCCCTCAAAAATCCCCCGTGCTCTACTGATTCCTCCCTGCCATCCCCCCCGGAGCCCATGGCAACCACTGATCTGTTTATGGTCTCTAGTTTTGCCCTTCTAGAATGTCATATACTTGGTGTCATGCGGTATGTAGATTTTTTAGACTGTATTCTTTCACTTAGCAATGTGTATTTAAGGTTCTTTCATGACTTTTTTGTGGCTTGAAGCTCATTTCTTTTTATTGCTAAACAAAATTCCATGAATGGATGTACCAGTGTTCACTTCTACATTCATTGATTGAAGGGCGTGTCTTGGCTGCTTCCAATTTTTGGCGGTTATAAACATTCGTGTGCAGGGTTTGGTGTGGACGTACATTTTCAAGTCATTTGGATAAATGCCTAGGACAGTGACTGCTGGATCATGTGGTAATGATTTAGCTTTGTGTCAAACTGCCAAACCGTCTTCCAAAGTGACTGCTCCATTTTGCCTTCTCGCCAGCAATGAATGAGAGCTCCTGATGCTTCATATCCTTGTGTTGTCAGTTTTTTGAGTTTTAGCCATTCTAGCAGGTGTGTTGTGTAATCTCTTTGCTTTGTTTTGTTTTCACGGAGGAAGATAAGCCCTGACCTAACATCTGTTGCCAATCTCCTCTTTTTGCTTAGGAAGATTAGCCGTGAACTGACATCTGTGCTAGTCTTCCTCTATTTTGGATTTGGGTCACTGCCACGGCATGGCTGCCAACGAGTGGTTGTAGGTCCAGACCCAGAAGTGAACCTGGGCTGTAGAAGCAGAGTGCGCCAAACTTAACCACTAGGCCGTGGGGTCAGCCCCTCATTGTTGTTTTAATTAGCAATTCCCTAATGTCATATGTTGAGTGTCTTTTCATATACTTATGGCCATCTATATGTCTTCTTTGGTGAGGTATCTGAACTCACATCTTACTGAAAATCTTAACAATATTGAGTCTTCCTATCCATGATCATGGAATATCTTTCCATTTCTTGCTTTCTTTCTTTGGCTTCCTTCGTCAGTTTTGTACTCTTCTTCACATCGTTTTGTTAGAGCTATACCTAAGTATTTCATATTTTTGGTGCCATTGTAAATGATGTGTTTTGAATTTCCAAATTTCAGTTGTTCATTGCAGGTATATGGGAAAGCAATTGACTTTTGCATATTAACCTTGTATCCTGAAACCTAGCTATAATTGCTTATTAGTTCCAGGAGCTTTTATTGTTGCTGTTGATTCTTTGGGATTTTTCTAACTAGACAATTATGTCAACTACAAAAATTATTTTTTTATAGTTTAAGAGCTGTATGAATATAATGGGATGTGTTGATTTAACAGATAATCAGTCCTTAAAACCCCAAATGACAAAGGAAAATTCTTTCAAATGTCCATAAGTTGCGAGAAATTGTCTAATCTGTCCCCTCCTTCCACTCCACTATCTCTTCCACGTAGTTGCACTGAAGTGGTGTGACACTTTGGGGTATTCAGTGTTATAACTCTTGGAGGGAAATGGGAAATTCAAGATACTATTGAACATTGTACCACAGAGGTCTTCGATTTTGCCCATTGACAAGAAAGAAAAGATAATTGCTCCATTTATAGTTCATGAATTTTTGATATGTTCTGCGTTAAAAGATGCTAGTAAATTAGCCTTTTTGGGTCAAGATAATGTTTTTTATTTAGTTTTATTATCTGGGCAGGGAATCAGCAAGTATTCGTTCTATAACATTTATAAATAACTATCTGTGAGTAACCTCTGCAAAAAAAGATGCTATTGGCAATTCAGAAGAAGGAGAGTTTTATCCACCAGATTCATAGCATGCTTTTCCTAGAAATATAGAGGATCTTCTCTCGTTAAAACACACAGTAGCAACAAGAACAGCAGTAGCAACAATCATACCATTAAAACAAAGCAAAACATGGCAATTCTTCCTAAGGAGATTCCCAAGACCTGGAAGATGACAGGAACTCTTCAGTCCAAGTGAACATGCCATCATAATCTCAAGAAAGTTGTCTGCAAATATGAGGTGGTAAATTTGAGAGAATAAGAAAGAAAGAAACAAAGAATTATTCATATCGACATGGCTGGTAGAGAAGATTTTGTCACTTATTCACTCTATGTGCCCTAGATGCTTTACAGACATTACTGTGTCTAAATCTCAGGGACACCATAATAATACTAACATTTATGGAATGCTTGTAATGGTCTAGGTGTTAACTAATTTACCCCTCAGAACGCCCCTATGAGAGAGGTACTCTTATTACCCTCATTTCACAAAGGATGAATCTGAGGCTTGGGGCTGCCCAGTTTGTAAGTGGCAGAGCCAGGATCTGAGCCTCTGCTGTTAACCAGCACTCTCTCCTGCCTCCCAATAGCCAACTCCGAGTTCGTCTATTCATTCAGCAAACATGTATTTGGAGCCTGTTATGTGCCAGTTATTACAAAAACCTTTTTGTGTGGTAGTGGTGGAGTCGTGGGGGCTTGGAGATAGATACAATGATGGACCAGGTATAGACCCTTTTTTTAAGAGCTTATGTTTGGTGATGGTTAAGTCTTGATGTGAAGGATGCAAGTTGCAGCTTGAAAAGGAGTGGCTGCCATACTGTCATTTCAAACAAACAGACTGGTTGTGAGCCAGATTTGGAGACAAAGAGATATAAACTGTGTTCTAGGAGGAGTTGAATAGATCAGTTCGGCGCTAGGAGAGAGACCATGTGAGACAGTGTGCTGCTCTCCAAATGTTTTAGACAGTACGCCCCCTTAGTAAAAATTTTTTGAGCCTGCACTTCTAATATACTTTTGGCATTTATTTACATATTATAGCATTTTCATAGTATTTTTGCGTACATTAATAATGATACATGCAAAGAAATGAAAATTTTCAAAGGATGAGATAAAAACTAAATGTAGATAGACATGCTAAAATTTTTCTCCTGTGCTGTAGTGGATTGCCCTTTGTGGCGGACAGTTTGAAGACCACTGACAGAGTGGAAGACACGAGTGGATCTATATGCTATAGCAAGATTGTGAGTGGTCTTGATGAGATGGTGTTTAGATGTTATTCTAAACATAACCAAAAGTCAATAGTGACTGAATCACAAAAGTAACATTTCATTAAAATACAAATTTTTGAGCATTTACTTTGTGCAATGTGGGCCATTAAAAAATAAATAATAGTCCTTGTTCTTCTGTAATCTATGAAGATGAGTGATATATATCACTATAATACTATAATATAAAACACTGTAAGACGATATGTCACTATAATACACTATATATAATATAAATGATAATAATACATTACAAAAGAGTTTCAAGCACAGTATCATATTGAGCTTCACAATATCTCTATGAGGTTATAACAGTAATAGTAACTAACACAAATTCAGGGTTTTCCAATGTGTTAATTTATATAATTCTCAACAACTCTATGTAATGAGGAAGCTGAGACATAACTAGTAAGTGGCAAAGCTGGAATTCAAACCCAAGCAATCTGGTTCCAGAAAATACCATCATTATTATGAGGCAAAACAGATAATAGGCTTGTTTTTTTTGAGGGAGAACATGTGATAGAGAGTTGTGATAACGTAATGAAAGAAGGGAATCCGGAAGAGTAAGATGGTGACCGAACTGGTTGAACTGTAGGAATCGGAGGTGGTGAGCTGAACAGATGTTTTGAATACTGTCCTAATCATCCAGATCAGATTGATAAAGTGGGATTGAGCTGTAGAAGTAAGGAAATAGAAATGAGGAGAACTATTACATAGCGGCAAAATAGGACCCAGGGTGAGGGTGAGACATCCTTTCTGTCTACCTCAGAGAGAAAGGGAATTTCATAATAAACGGTAAAGGTCCTCTTTCTGTATGGTCTGCCAAGTACGGAATGCAGATTCCTAGAATTGGGATGACTAAGTTAAATAGAATCAGCATCTTAAGCTTCTCGATACTTATTACCAAATGATTTTCCACAAAGGACAGATCATTTCACAGTTCTTGCAGCAGTATTTGAGATCACTCTTGTCAGCACTGAGTATTTTTATTTTTGGTCCTATCTACCAAGGCAATGGAAAAAGTAACCTTTCGTTTTGCTTTACACTTCTTTATTGCTAGTGACATCGACTGTTCTTTACATTTATTCATCATTGATGTTTTTCCTTGTTTAATTATTTTGCATTGAGATAAAATTCAACGTACTTTTTAAGCTGCGCAGTTTAGTGGGTTTTAGTATTGTCACAAATTGTGCAATAATCACTACTATCTACTTCCAGAACA